TCCTTTTTAGGAAAAAGAAGGGGGGGCTAAACCCTCCCCCACCACCTTCTTCTCCCGCAGCGCACCACACACAGCGCGCGGGCTGCTCGCTCGGCACCCGGCGGCCCCGGCGCGTCCCTGCCTGCATTTATCAAGCTGCTCCCCCCCACCCCATTTTTTTCGGAAAACGCATTGGCCTTTTGGAGTTTAATCAGAAGAGGATTTTTGTCCCTGTCCCCCCCCTCTTTCATCGTCCCCCTCGCGTGTCTCTGCCGTGGAGGGCTTAAGCAATCCAGTGGAGACGGATCCATGCCTGCGCTCGAGCGTGTGTGTGCGAGTGTAAATTGCCGAGAAGCGGGGGAAATCACAGGACTTCTTCAAATGCTGGACTGAAAATTGTAATTCATCTGCCGCCGCCGCTGCCTTTCCGGCCCCTCTGTCGTGCTCTTGAGATCTCCGGTTGGGATTCCTACGGATTGACATTTTCAGTGAAGCCAAACCGTGGGGACGGGACGCAATCTGGAAACCCTCCTGATTTTACTCTACCTAGCTCTCCCCCACCTCCTCCTCATTGCAAGTTTCAAAGAAGCTTATACCAGGAGACTTCTGAAGATCGATGGTGTCGTTGCCTTATATATTTGTTTGGGTTTTACCAAAAAGCAAAACAAAAAAAAGAGGGGGAAACTTGACAGAAGATCATGCTGTCCTTTAAAAATAAGTAAGTTTTTTGCACAGGAATTTGGTTTAGTTTAACTTTCAACGGACGCATTTGATTTTTTTCTTTAAATACATTCGAGCAAATTTAATTTCCAAACAGTTTAATGCAGTCTCTTTAGTGTGTAACTTGTAGCGGATATGCCCTTCCTCCCCTGAGTATATAAAGAACACACCTGTTTTTAACTTGCCAAGTCGTCCCTCCCCTCACCTTTCAGCATTGCGGAGTAAGTAGACTGATATTAACAAAGCTTAATAAATAATGTGCCTCGTGAAATAAAGAACCGAAAGGAATTTGAATAAAAATTTCCTGCATCTAATGCCAAGGGGGAAACACCAGAATCAAGTGTTCCGCGTAACTGAAGACACCCCCTCATCCAGGAATGCAAAAGCACATCCAATAAAAGAGCTGGATTATAACTATTTTTTTTTCTTTTGGGGCTGTGGGGCGGGAGTCAGGACGAGAAGTGCTGTTGATATACCTGCAGCTTTTTTTTCGGGGAAGGATGGCTCAAGCTGGGAGAACAGGGTATGATAACCGAGAGATCGTGATGAAGTACATCCATTATAAGCTGTCACAGAGGGGCTACGAGTGGGATGTGGGAGATGTGGACGCCGCGCCCCTGGGCGCCGCCCCCACCCCTGGCATCTTCTCCTTCCAGCCTGAGAGCAACCCAACGCCCGCTGTGCACCGGGACATGGCTGCCAGGACATCGCCACTAAGGCCCATAGTCGCCACCACTGGGCCTACCCTTAGCCCCGTGCCACCTGTGGTCCACCTGACCCTCCGCCGGGCTGGGGATGACTTCTCCCGTCGCTACCGTCGCGACTTCGCGGAGATGTCCAGTCAGCTGCACCTGACGCCCTTCACCGCGAGGGGACGCTTTGCTACGGTGGTGGAGGAACTCTTCAGGGATGGGGTGAACTGGGGGAGGATTGTGGCCTTCTTTGAGTTCGGTGGGGTCATGTGTGTGGAGAGCGTCAACAGGGAGATGTCACCCCTGGTGGACAACATCGCCCTGTGGATGACCGAGTACCTGAACCGGCATCTGCACACCTGGATCCAGGATAACGGAGGCTGGGTAGGTGCATGTCTGACTGAATGAGTCTGGGCTTTGCTCTCAAAGCCAAGATGCAGAGAGGCTGGGGACTTAGTGGATCCTGGGTCAAAATGAGCCATGAGCCAATGAATGAAAATCCAGTTTGTAGCTTTGCTCCCCGTCCCAGTACCTTTCTCTGGTCAGATCACACCCTGCCAATACTGTGCTAGCTCCTGCCTGCAGGCTGTAAAAGAGCAAAGGTCCAGTATTTTTGATCCAGTAGGATCTGAAGATAAATGGTATCCCTCCAGTGAGTCCCAGAGTTACTTGAAGTCTGAGTAGCTTGTTGCAGATGTTCTGGTTCCTGGGTAGGAACCAGACCTCCAGCTTTCTCTGCATCTTAGGCTACTCTGTTGGACTAATAACTGACAAGGTCCAACTAGACAAATAGGCTCCACCAGAGGACGCAGGCATACCTTTTCTGACTCACTTGGGAACATTTTCCCAAAGAAAAACAATACAGCCCCCTTTCCTGAAAATCATAGCTAAGCTTGTAAAAAAAGGCATGCTGTGTGTGTACCCTGAAGAACAGACTGTGAATGCTCTGTTCCATCGTGAGTTTGCAGGGGCTCCAGACTGTGTTCTGTAACTCATGCAAGATTCAGAAGTTTACATCCCCTTTAATGTCCTTTACTTATCTATACCTACAGTCTACATTATTTTACGATCTCCACTGCTGAATGGATTTGCATTTAGGTAACATGTAGCTGTAGAGTGTCTGGCCCTGATTAAGTTGAAACGATTAGTATCCATAGCTTTGATGAGCATCTGTGGGGTGATAGTTTTCTGGTATCTTGGGAGATCAAACTTCTATTATTTTACCATGAGATTTCAGCTTTTCCTGGTTCTTTGGGGGATGGGGAGCAGACTCAAGGCGTGTTATACCTAAAATAATTAAGTTATAAAAAAGCAATAATTATTGTCTGACATTTTTTAAAGACTTTGTTTTAATGAAAAGGGTTTTTATTTTAGTCCTGCTTTGGATAGTCTCAAAAGAATGACTAATTTTTTATAGCACCTAACAGGAACAAAAAGTCTATAATTGACCACATGTGAATCAAATGTCTAGAAACACATTATGTTTTTACTACAGATTGCAAGATGTTTGCAATCTTTATTTATAAATCTAATATTTATGGACCCCAAAAAGAAAAAAAGCCAAGAAAAATAGATGATTGATGTGAACATCTGATCTTATTTGGCCAAAGTTGACAAAATATTGATGGCACTATTCAAGGTTTAAAAGTAAAATTAATTCAAATGCCCGAGCTTACATGCCTGAAATTCACATGCTCCCTGTGAATTGCTTGTTTGTTGACATCCCACATGATCAGATTGTTAGAGAGGCTGGGAGAATTGGCTGAAGGATGGAAACTAATTTTGTTAGATGTTCCGTTAAGTAGGTGGGCTGATTTTTTTTAGCCACTTTATTCAGAGTTGGGGACTTCAAGCTCCAGAAGAATCATTTTAAAGCCAAAGTAAAACAATTTAATAGTTTTATTATTTCATATTTTTATGAAAAAATATAAATTTGTTTCTTCCTACTTGAAGGAAATCCAAGGCAGTAAGTGTGTGGTATTCACTATCAGGTTGATAAAAATGTGGGAAATGGGACCATATGTTTCTGATGGAACTTCAGATACAACTTGACCTCTGTTGTCGGGTTGCAATATGTTGACAAGGCAGACCACTGAGGTTTCTTTTTAAATGAGGCATCTCTTTTTCCTGTGTTCGTCATCAAGTTTTTGTTGCAGGGCCTATCTTTGTGGTCAGCAGGTATCTGAGGTTGATAAATGCATAGGCTTCATGTTATGAAGCCGAACCGCAATGGCATGCTGGAAGAGATGATAAAAACCATAAGTCATAGAGAACCACAAATGGCTGATGGTAAATAAAAAATTGTCTAATAGTTTTCAGAACAGCCCATAAATGGATGATGGTGCAGGAAAAGAAAGGAATTGACAAGAAAGAGTATGAAGCAGAAAATAGAATCATATGTAAACACTTTGGAATCAAAGTGGTAGTATTTGAGAGTTCTTAGTGATTGGTCTATCAGCCTGCGGTCTCAAATATGTCTTAGTAATTTAAATGTTTATTTTAGGCATTTGGTGTATAGATTTCTCTTTAACTGTATGTTAGTCAGGATAGTATCTCCAGTATGTTGCACATTATAGTGACTTTTAATAACAGAGTATTTTATCTAAGTTTCAGCAGAGAGTTTATTTTCTTGATGTGAGAAAATGACGTGAATGGTGGGAATAATTCCCCATGGTCGGTGGAGCAACTCATCTATAGAAATATATAGGACACTTGGAGCTTTAAACGTGAAATCACTCTTGTCTTCTGCTTCAAAGGCAGAGTACTCCAAGGCTGGGGAAGACTGTGTCCCATGTTTTATTACAAAGAAAACAGCCTTTGGAATGGCCAGCTCCTAATAGAGAGTCCCAGAATCTGAAAATTTAACAGAGAATAAAGAAATAATTGGGAACAAGGCAGAGTATGGCTTATCCCTAGGCCTGCATAAGGGCTTGTGTGCTGTCCAGAGAAAGGCAAGAAAGCTAGAATAGGGAGACAGCAGCAATTCTAGAAAATGTCTGAGACCCTACAGATCAGTCATCTGGGACCTTCTTGGACAGAGACTCACCTTCACTCTAGTGCCACTGGGGTATAATCTTTGGTTTCTCTGTACATTAAAGTCAGAGCTGCTGGCTACCATGCTTGATTCTTTCTGGATGTGGGTGGAGTTTTTGTTTGTATGTTGCTTCTTATTTTGAAGGATCATCCTGTGACAGATTCTATAGCCCTCTTTCTGGTGGCCTTCAGGTTAGAATGTTGCCTAGAATCATGCTTCACAAATGTGCACTACAGCAATTTGACCCCCAGAAGAAGCCGAGAATAAAGGCGAGAGAAACATTAAATAGACACAATTCTACTCTCAAGAATGTTTCTCATGCTGGTTATGAGTGTGTATTGGCATTTTTGGCCTCGTTTAAGTGAGATAGCTTTTCTTCTTCAACTAAAGGGAAACTCATTTCTATGTGCCCAGTAGAGGCCAGCTTCCTTTTTATTAGGTAGTTAGCACATAGTTCCCCCTTTCTGAATACAGTTCACACCCACCAAAACATTTGACTAACTGGAAAGCATTACCATTCTCATGACAGTGGATGATCTACATGAAAGAACATCATTTTTCTAGTGGCCCGTGTCAGCTGCCATGGCCAGTTTTGGCAGCAAAATGATAGGATTAAAAATAGCATTATGATGATCCAGTCTTAAATAATACATCCCCTGATGAACTTTCCTTGGGAAACTGTGTATCTCTATCTGCTAGAAATCCCGTGACCACTTTCAATAATTTATTTTGTAGAAAAAAAAAACAATGTTATTGGTCTTAGAGTTTTTGGTCATGTGCTCTTGAGTGATTATGTTTCTGGAACTTCAGACAAGTTTTTAGTTCACTCAATTCTCTTTTCTGTGTCGGAGTTTTTGTTGCTAGTTAGCATCCATGGAAAACATTTCTTTTGTGTGCCCTATTCTTTTAGTTGTGTTTTCAAAAAAGAAAAGATTGCTTATTTTAACAACCCTTGATTGAACTGGTGCATGTCATATTGTTTCAACTCCACAGGCTACATATACCTAGCACATAACAGAAATCCACAGAGAAAGGGGGGAAAGGCAAGCCAAATTCTTGTCATTCTTTTTTTCTTTTTCTTTTGTAAGTCTCCTTCTTGTCCTTGTCCTGTTTTGTGTCTTGGAGGGATGATAAATCCACACAAGCAATAGCATGGGCGGCTCTCCGAGTGCATTACAGTAGGGGTGTCTCCCACAAGTTGCACTACCTCAGTGGCTTTAAGGACACTGACTGTGTCTTCGGAGCAGGTCAGCAAAGGAGTGCATTTGTACAAGGAAACAACACTGCCTTTGTTGTGTACAAGTTCGAAGGTTTTTTCCCCCTAGAAGTTTGAGAGTCAAAGGTTCTGTTGAACCTTTTTAAGGTAATCTGATATTACCCTTTTCAGGTATGGCAGTGCCCTTTCAATCTGGTCACCCTGGCCTCTGACTACATATAGAGACCACTCTGACTTCAGCTCCCTGTGAAGTTTGTCTTCCATTCTCAGTTTAATTCAAACACATTCACTCATCCAAGCAGGTGAAAAATTGTTCAAGGACTAAGTGTCCAGCAGACAAGATGGCAAGTTTCATGAGGGCCAGGCCCTGGATAAGGTTGGGTACGTGTGAAGGAAAGCTAGCCCCAGGCTGGATAAATCACAGGCCAGGGCTTTCTGTGTCTTAGTGAACTTAGAGGAACCAGGAGCCCCGGAGCAAGATCCTGGGCTTAGAAGGAAAGACAAGTATGTCGTTTTACATGTGCTTCAGCCTGATCTTAAAGTTATTTCTAGCCATATGGTTTTTCATGTGTGCATCAGGTGATGTAAACAAGGGGCCAAATGCAGATAATCTGAAAAATAACTAACACAGATATAGGATTAACAGAACTGAAAGGTGGGGGGAGTTCCCTTTTTAAATAGTAACTCACAAAACACTATTTATGCACATTGAGTAGACTTAATGACTGCTAGTCTACAGTTTTTAAAGAATTTCATTAAAATGTTTTAAGGAAAAGACAGTCAAAGCTTGCTCTAATTAGAACATGGTAGTTTGAAGAAGTGTCTTAAATAAACCTCTCTCATGCACAGAAAGATACAAGTACATTTTGAAGCAGACTAGAGACCCCCCCCGCCCCCGGCCTTTGAGAAAAAGAAACGCTTCTATTTTGCTTTGGTTTCGGTCCTAGTACTATGCTGTTATCAGATGTTTCTCTTTTGAAATGTGATTCACAATTTACAGGAATTCGTACTCCACTCTCACTGCGTTCCTAAGCAACAATGTACGGTACCCATGGGCCTCTTTCCTTAGATGCAGATGGGGAAAGTTTTAACATTAAAAGGTACTTTTCCTTCTAAGCTCTTCTGCAGGTGGCAGTTCTGAATGGCCAGTTGTATAGTGCCAGTGTTGACCTCCAGTGAGCACAAGGGTTTAGATGGTTCCTGTCTCTAAGGCCTTTAGATTTTCTCATAGATACCCCAGGTATAGCTAGCTCTTTGTCACCATGCAACAGTTGAAGGATAGGATTCACATGGAGAACATGGCATTGTATCCAGATTCTTCCAGGAGGTAGAAGACAGTGAAAATTCACCAAAGCCACCATGTAGTTCACCAGACCCTGATCTTGCCATAGGCAGGGAGGCAGGTAAAAATTCCATTGACAGGTGCTGTTCCTTCCCTCCAGAGATCATAAATTCCAACTCCAAGCCAAGAAGAACATTAGCTGGTATAGTTTTTACTTGCTGGGATCCCTGTGGTGGGTGACTCCAGTGGACTATTGAGCTTTACAAATGCCTTAACTACCTAAAGTAATGTGACCTATTGTAATGACTACTTCCCCAGACCCACTCTTCTACTTGTTTGAAAGGGACTCTCACTGAAATGCTGGTGTGGCCACTTTGGTTTGGCTCCCTAGGTGATGTTCTTGGGTGATCCAGCACATTCCATGAAGAGGTTAACCATGGAAGTGAACACACCTTCTTTTACACATCACACACATCGAGCATGGACTTCAACAAGAAACCATCAGGAAACCTTGCATTTCTCTTCTGCTGTTTGTTTTGCCTTTAGAATTTTGGGGCCAGAAAGAATTCCCTTTTTAGTTAATAATCTGCTCTCTGGGGTTTCAGCACATGAGTCAGAGGCTTATGACTGACTCCCTCCGCTCTTTATTTCGTCTCCTGAAAACAACTGGAGAAGCCACTGTGTCAAGAGAGCTTTAATTTTTCAAGGGAGATTTTTTTTTCCATTGAGACCCATATATCTTTTCTTGTGACAGTTCCAGTTACTATATTTTTTCCATTTTAAGCTATCAAAAAGGCAGTTAGGCTACAAAAGAATAATGGGGGGTTTACAGGTGTTCATGTATAGTACCCCAAACAAGGTCTGCGTTACAGGTTGTGTTTTGTTGCTCCTTTTCAGCTTTTCATAATAGATGCTAAGACTGCTGCTTTGCAGCATGGTGAATTTTATATCTCTGGCATTGAGTCTGAAATTGAATTTCAGCCAACCCTTCCCCTCTCAGCTGCATCTGAAATTTCCAAAGAAGACAGGACAAATTCTTAGTTCTCTTAATTCAGTGCTTATCTAGTACGTAATGCACATCCTTATTACAATTAGGATAGAAATAAAAATCAACTGAGAATTGTATTGTCAACTGTACAGGTTAATTTATCAGGGTGGGGAAAGTTGCTGTAATTTATAAGAAGCGGCATGAGAGAAGAAGACACCATGTGACAGACTTCCAGTGAAAGGGTTTTTTATTAGGAGAAAGGGAATAGGAAAAGGGGAGAGGGGATGAGGGAGACTGGCCTCTGGAGACAGAAGCAGCAGAAGAGAGGGGCAGAGGGAGGGAGTAGAGGGGGGGTGGGCAGGGTCCTTTTAAAGGGGAACATAGTGAATATGCACAGGTGGTGCTCTTAGTGGCTGCAGCTGAGGGCATATCCTGTCAGAACCCCAAGGGCAGGCCAGTACAGATGCCTGAATACTAACAAAAATAGTTCCATACAGGATTGAAGCTTCAGCACCTCTAAGTTTAAAGCTTCAGGGCCATGGCTAGTTATTTCCTTTTTGGATTCTTGCCAGCATTTTCTTCTTCTTTTTTTTTCTCCACATTTTTTTTTCTCCTCTTCCAAAGAAGAGGTTTGAAAGTATTTTATAACAAAATTCTATATCGAGTATATTGAGGCAGAGCCACTTACTGAACATTGAGATGGTAGCAGCACAAGAGTAAGACCATCTGAGGAAACATTAAGAAAAATGAATAGCTGTCAATGAACCATAATGTCAAGTTCCCAGTATCTAGAACAATGATGGGCATGGAAGGATTTAAAGGATCTTGTTATTTAGGAAAACATACATACTAACTTTGTTTTCACAAAAACAAAACAGTTATTGGATACCTACATATAAAAAGCTCAGTGCTAGGTATTTTGGTTAGTAAGTGGTTTTATTGTTTTGTTTTTGGTTTGTTTGTTTGTTTGTTTGTTTGTTTTTCAAGACAGGGTTTCTCTGTGGCTTTGGAGGCTGTCCTGGAACTAGCTTTTATAGACCAGTCTGATCTCCAACTCATAGAGATCCGCCTGCTTCTGCCTCCTGAGTGCTGGGAATAAAGCATGCACCACCATGGCCTGGCGGTTAGTAAGTGTTTTAAAGAACAAACATTCAGTCTGGGGGCAAATCTGTAAGTAGCTATAGTCCTTGACATTTTTAGCTGACAGAGATCTACTCTAGTTAGAAGGCACCACAGGCACATAGATAGTTTCTTATGAGAGAGTTTTGAAGCAAACTTTGGAGAAGAGATAAGACATATGGGGAGAGAATATTTAAGGTAGTGGAACCCAGAGCTATCAAGCAGTTAGGGATGTGTGAGGTCTGTAGAGAATTGGGAGGTCTGGCTTGATTAGAGCATCATGAACATCCCAGGAAGAACTTAACTTGAGAATCTAGTCTTTGGTCCTAAACTAAGAGAGTTGTGTTTAATTTGGTGGATGTTGAAATGATCCTGAGGTAGAGCAGGATGTGTATGTTAGAGAAGATTGATGATGGTTGAGGCTAGACCAGAGAGACCAGCTAGGAGTATACCACATTAATGGGAAAGGGGTTATGTAAAAGGCTGGGTGGGTGGGAATTGTGTAGACATAGGCCTAGAGATTGGAATTCCATGAAGAATAGTGGACAGAAAGAATGAGAGGACTTGAGGTGTATATCCCTGGCTCAAACAAAACAAACCCCTTGTCTTCCAGAAAATGGAAGCCCACTTGCCATGGCAGGTAAACATAATGAGTTTGACTTTAGACTCCTTCATCTTGGGCCCTTATGAGGTTATTCAAGTGGAAGAGCCAAGTAAACAGTGAGACCTAAGGATCAGGCACTCATGGGAAAAACTGAGGGTGAAAAATTAACTGTCTTCATGCCTAAGCTATGTGGGCTTAGGGGAGCTTTGCTCCCCTCAATCCCCAAAGTTGTCCTACATACTACTGCTAAACATGCCATCTTTGATTCCTGTTATTCACATGTCAGCTTTTCCCAGCAGTCTTTACAAGACTGCTGTGGATTGGGTTTCAGGATCAGTCCAAAGGTTACTTTATGAGTTTGTCTTCCCATTCTCAAACAGTAATTGAACTTGAGCTTAACTAGTGCTGTCCTGCTGGGTACTTAGGCCCTCCATTAATGATCTAACTTCAAGGGACTTTGGGAGTCTCTGGGACTTCTGTGTGAACTATTTTATCCTATTAAATTCAAGATGGCATTTTGCATATATAAACAGCAAGTGTTTTATAACAGAGATTAGGTTTATGAAATGAATGAATTAATAAAATTATGTTAAAGGCACTTTGGATGTTTAACTCATTCTAACCGACTAGTGCTGTCTTAGTCTCTTAGTGAGCCATTTGTGCCCAACTATCACATCCTACTTTTTAATTACTACTTACGAGAAACAAAAGAAGAAAACATACCTATGGTTTCCTTGTTACCTTTTTCTTTGAGTTAAGAAAGTAAAAATAGATCCTCTGAATTTTGCATTAAACATTCATCAGATCTTACATGTCCAATGCTGACATCACCGATGGTCACATTCTGTCTGTTGATGCAAAGGTGACATGCCCACAGAATACAGACATGTGCCTTCTTTCCTTTCCCTCTCGTGTTTCAGATCTAAGCCAGACTGCGAAGGTCTTGATGTATGAGATTATTCATCACCTTATCTTTAAAGAAAGCAAGGCTTGTGCAAAATTCTCACAGAAGGACAAGGTGGATTTTAGCTCTGATCAGTGTGGTAACTCAAATATTGAGAGAATTGTACTGAAGCCATGAAGATAAATGATCTTCTCCGATAAAATCAAGCAGTCTACTGAAGCTGGAAACCAGCTCAGGTCAGCATTCTCAAAGATGAGAGAACTTAAGATTTCACTTCCACAGACACTGACCAATAGGAAGATCATCAGGACTGTCACTGATAACACTATTGGCCCAGTAGCTTTGGCTACACTTGTGTTCTGGTTCAAGCCAGCCTCACAGCCTGTCTGTGGTTTTGAGAACTGGAGGAATTTGTGTTTTGAGAACCCTCATCTCTTGGCATAATGCAAATTTAAAACCTTGTTGCTCATCATTTGTCATCTGTTTGAAAGATCATATGATTTGTTTACTTGTAATGAAGGTTGACCATACTTCTTCAGGGGCTTTTAAAACGAGGGATGTGTCAACTTGCAGATTTGTCCCCATGAATGAAACCACAAACAAATTCTCTTTCTGTTTCCCCTCCCCCTCCCTCTCTTCTTCTGTGGCCATCTGTGCCTCATTCCCATTGCCAGCCCCTCTTCAAGTGGCTTATCTTTGAGTGAATTCAGAAACTTCAAATTATAAAGGACACCCAGATAATTGGCCTGGTCTCTAAACTATCTGTCCCCTGTACAGCTGCCAGATTCCTTCTTAATGAATACATCCACTGACAGAGAGATCTTGAGCTTGCCCATATCCGTGAGAAAATGAGCTCCCCTGCTCTGCAACAGCTTGCAGCACAGGGGAAGCAATGACAGCCATTGCACAAGTTTTCTTTGAATGTAGTTTTCTTTCCCATAAATGATACTTTGAGAATACAGTTAAGGGGTTATTAGTTTTCTATTTCATGCTTGGCCTGTGTGTGAGAATAACACAAGCTGTCACTGCAAATCAGTAGCTTTATCTGGTTAATGTGAGTGTTTAATATTTGGCTCGATTAAAAATTAACTGATGAAAGTCCGTGTCATTGGAATCTGAAAATGCCTTTTGTAAGGACTATTTCAAGGGCATGACCAATGAGCAAATTAGTGGTTTAAAAACATGGAAAATTGAAGGGAGGGGTAATAAGGGTGGAGGCATTTGACTTTGTCTTAAAACCTCTACATGTTTGGGACAGTAAAATGTTGGAAAGGACTGTCCTGGTTGTTGTTGTTAAGGACCAACTTGCAGTTTTGCATTGGGCATTAACTGAACAACTTCTAATTGACCATGTACTTGCTGAGCATAGAACAGTAAATCAACTATTAATTTATATGACTTCTTCACAATACACTGTTAATTATGATGGCTGTATAATGTTGACTATGATACCTGACAGAAACAATACAGGGGAGGAAGATTTGGGGCAGTTCATGGTTTTAGAAGATTCAGTTTGTGATTGATTGGCCCTAGGTGCTTGGCCAGAGCATCATGGTATGGAGAGTGTATGGTGGATACTATTCTTAACAGATGGGGGCAGGGATGAGATAACCTCAATAGCTGACCCATATTATCTACTTCCTCTAACTAGGGTGCACTTGCTGATGTTTCCAGATAGGGACCAAGCATTTAAAATGTGAGCCTGAGACTGAAGAGACTGCTCTGTGGTTAAGAGCACTAGCTTACTCTTCCAGATGAATTGGTTTTGGTTCCCAGCACCCACAAAGTGGCCGACAACTGTCTGTAATTCCAATTCCAGTGGGTCTGATATCCTCTCCGGGCTTTTTCTAGCACTACACATGCAAGTGGTACACAAACATACATGCAAGTAAAACATTCATACACATATAAAATAAAACAATAAAGTAAAACAAATGTGAGCCTATGGGGAACATGTCATATTAATATAAATGATAACATGTGGATAAGCCAGGTCTGGAGCAAGATATCTGACTTTCAGTCCAGGGGTGTGGGGATCCAGAGTCATCCAGGGCAGATAGGCTTGAGGGGGTAGAGGGCAGCCACAGCAGAGGCATTAGTTAGGCCAGGAAGGGATTCCCAGGGAATAACCGAAGACTAGAGGAGGAGCCTAATGAAGAGGGGAATGTGTAACCAACTGACAACACAGGTTGCAGGGACTGAAGAGTACAGCCTGGTTAGAGCAGAGGTCACAGACAATGGGATCCGAGAGCCAATGCTCAAGACCACACACATACACTTTCTCTCTCTCAACACACACACACACACACACACACACACACACACACACACACACACAATGCAGTGTCTTGCTTCTGGTTATTTCTCCTCCTTTGGTTCTGTGTTCATAAAGTTTGTTTGTTTGCTTGCTTGCTGCAGAGGGAAATCTAAGTGTTTGCCATTTGATGTTCATACATGAGCTCAAGACCCTGTAGGGACTAGTGAGCCAGGTGGTCTTGATCATGTGGCTCCTAAGAGAACAGTTTTAACAGAGTAATTGGAGATCTTTGTCTTATTCCATGAGACAGTTCTATAAACCACCCACTCTGTCAACACAGAGAGAGTGGAGCCTGCTGATTACTGCAGATGATAGCTCTAGGTTGTCACTACCTAACTACCTAACCAGCAGTTGTGTTTTTATTTACTTTTAAAAATGAGCTCCTCTCTAGGTAAACAGTAAAAAAAAAAAAAAAAAAAAAAAAAAAAAAAAAAAAGGCATTCATTAAATTAAAAAAAAAAGTGGCACTTTCGGCTTTCATCCTCAGGGTCACATTGAAGTGCATACTGATTCTACTTCACTCATTCAACAAGCACGCACGGATTTAGTGCACAGATTTAGTGCACTACAGGAGTGTTAGCCCAGCAGCATGAGGGTTCTACCTAGAGTGTGGCAAATAATTCTTACTGTTGGGTGTGGTAGCTCATGTCTGCAATTCCAGCACTCAAGAAGCTGGGGCTGGAGAATTGCTGGTTGTTAAAGGTCAGCCTGGGCTTGCAGTGCAGACCTTTAATTCCAGTACTTGAGAGAAGCAAATGCAGACGGGGCTATTTTGATTTGAGACTGGCCAGCATGGTCTACATAGTGAGTCCAGGACAGCCAGAGAGTCACACAGTGAGACCTTGTCTCAAACAACAAAGCAAACGAAATTGTGTACCAGGCACTCACTAGACTAGAGCTAGTGGACTAGAGCTGAAACAGAAAACACAATGCTCAAGGACTCTCTCCTCCACCCCTTGAGTCCTACAGTGTGAGGGCATCAGAGCAGTAACTGTGGAACTAGCAGAACAGCAGGAGAGCTGCAGGATGAGGAAGGCTATGTGAAGTCGGTGCTCTGAAGGCAAGGGGAACTTGTGTGTCTTGGGGTGTCGCTGCAGTTCACACAGCAAAGAATGAATGCTTTTGTTCACAATACACTCCAAATTTAGTGTTCTCCCCTTAACTTTCCCATCAGTTTGAAGTCAGCTTCTGTGCAACCCAGCATCAATTAAAGAGAGGTACTGTTTTTAGATTATGTGCTTGAAACAGCTCTCCTAAGTGGAACCTCTGATTCTCCTCTCCCAGTTGTATTTATTGCAGCTCTGGCCACTGGCCTGGGCATTAAGCAGCAGGAAGGAAGGAAATAAGAATTTATTGAACTCCATAAGTGCCAAACCCCAGGTTTAGCCTCAATAACCCCCTAAGAGTGGGAAGCAACATCATAGCCATAGAAACACGGCTGACTTCTCCCACATATCTGCAAGCCCTGGCCTTCCATTCAGATAACCCCACTGATAACTAATGGCCTCTGGAATATAGGAAAAATTCAAACATTTAAACAGAGACTTATTAAAAATGACAAATTGATACATGTGGGGTTTTGTTTTTGTTTTGTTTTGTCACTTAGTCATCTGTAGTTCAGTAACAAAAAGTCAAAATCTTTCTCACATTATGGGTTCTAAACAGTCTTTCGTAGCTAAGAAAAGTGAACCTCCTAAAGGGGTCTCTTTTGTGCAGTTTCTGTGCAGCTTTTGGAAAAAATAAGTGGTCACCATTGCTTCATACAGGGCCAGACACCTGACTGCTGAGACTCCCAAAGGTCAGCATATTCAGACTAACAACCCCCCAGTACTGTCCTTGATCCAGGCGGTGACTTCACCAGCAAATTGTAACCTGCCTAATGCCTTTAATAAAAAGGTGGGGAAGTCTGTGGCTTCACATCCACTGTGCTCCTGACTCCCCTGTCATTCTTATTTTCGGCATGACCTTTGTGTTTCTTCCCAGAGTCCAGAGATGGAATGACATGTTGCTGAAGTTTACGGGATGATGATGTATCTCTTTTTGGAGTGAGCTATAAATTTTGTTCTACTCAGAAACAAGCCCACCTTCAGCCAAGATACCGTTTCCATGCCTGCATTTTAATTTAGGTGTTTCAGCCCAGAATGGGACAGTGTTTCCATGACAAGGCTTGGACAGGATGCTTGCTGTGTGCTGACTTACAGGGCTAAGGGGGTCCCGAGTGGGCCAGGAAACTCCTTTCTTCAAAGAAATGTAGACACCAAATTCTGACTGGAGAGGAAACTCTTCCTACTTCCTTATCAAATGGCTTTGTTATTGTTTGAGATAAGGTCTCAGTATCCAGCTCAGACAGTCTGGATCTTGTCGTGTAGACCAGGCTGGTTTCAAACTCACAGAGATCTCCCTGCCTCTGCCTCTCTGGTACTAGGATTAAAGGTGTGGATCACCTCACCATACCACACGCAGCCAAATGTCTCTTTTCTTCTCTACTTTTTTATTAGTTGATTTATTTCTTCATTGCTTAGCATAGATGAGTTAAATATTTAATCTATGTCAAGTTCACATGCAGAATGTAAAACTCAAGTCAAAAAAGAAAAAGAAAGAACCACATGTGTTGGGTTTTTTAGTAAAGCATAGATGAATACAAACTTAACTGTTTTTCCCAAGTATAACACATTAACAACCTCTAAGAGCAGGACAGCAGAGTATTTCATAAGAAGCAAAAAAAAAAAAAAAAAAAAAAAAATTAAAAAAAAAAAGAGGAAGAGAAATCGTTATTCAGGTCCAGGGAAAATAGTAACCTTTCATTAGGCAAGACACAGTTCAACATGAGGCTCCCCAAATGTCCAACCTCTGTGGTAGTTGACTGAACATGCCAACTGTTTATTCTTGTTTATTGACCGGTGTTTAATTTATAAGGAACAACTCAACAGTGTAGTATTGAAAAGGCTGATGTATTTTTTTAACCCCTAATATCCTAGTAAATCCACACCATCAGTATCTTGTTCTTTTAGTAGATTTTGTGTAACAAGTGTAGCTTTTAAGACAGAGGAAGAATTTGGCTTCTGTGTGAAAAGGAGAAAGCCGTGCCCCTTTGACCTCAGTTTTCTTGGGTGTTCTTCCTACTGGCCCTGAGAAGCAGCAACT